TAGTTAGCTATGCCTTCCCCCTTCAGGCATGGGCGACCCACAGTTCTATTAATCCAAGTGTGTCAAATGCAGCTCAGTGGTAACTCTCTCTCTCTCTCTCACCTCCTGTGTCAGAAGGTTATAAGTTCAGGTTCTACCTCTGACTAGAAGGAGATGATCTAAGCTGGCTATGCTGCAGTGTTTGTGGCTCGAGCCTTTGATTGAAATCTTAAGACTGAGGCCCCATCTCTGCCCGCTATCGGGCAGACTGAACTCAACCCAGGACTTGAGAAAACGTAAGGAAACTTTTCCCTGTGCCTTGGTTGTTATTAGTCTCTGAGCCAGATAATCAAGTCAGTCTTTTGTTGTTTTGTGGGAGTTTGCTGCCACATTTCTGATCTTGCTCTGGATCTAAAGGAGGCTGTGAAAATCATGTTCCACCCAAAACAAAAAGCATCTTTGCAGGTTCCAAAGAATTTTCATCAGGATGTGCTGAGATTTGGTGATAGGGGAGTGTGGTTGTGGCTCAGTGGTAATATCCTTACCTCTGGGCCAGGAGACCCGAGTTCAAGCCCCACCTGTTCCAGAGTTAACATGTCTGAACTGATTGGTTAAGAAAATATCTATGTTGTATTCAGGGCCAACTAGACATTCCACTCTTTCACCTCATCCCCTGTCCCATTTATTATTGGTTCTCATTAAGTTAATCAATGTTCTTGTCTGTGACAGCTTCATTATAACAACGGACGTTCTCACCATAGGGAGAGACGTCCTGGACTATTTTATGATGAGGGAGTTGACAGTGGGTATGGACTTAGGGAAGAGCAGAGAGAGTCTAGAAGAGGGAATTGACGATAGGCCTAAAGGATGGGGTGAACTGCTGTGAGGAAAGTCTCTCTAGGGATGCAGAGCATAGGGAGACCAAGTGGATTCCATACATTTACTGGAGTTACATCTCAGAAGGAGGCCACTCTTCCTGTCCTGGCTTTTTTTTTGAGTGCAGCCCAGTTCAGCCTCCCAACGTAGCTTTTCCTGCATAAATGTCCTATTGCATTAGCACAGAGGCTGCTGTTTCTGCAGTTTTCCAGGGCGACATAGAGTGTACAGCTGCTTCACCTTTTTACAGCTTTTCCCTCATTGAAACATTCTTTAATAAGTAACAGGTCACACATCACAGCACAAATGCATCCAGCGCTCGAGCTGATCCCTTGATACCTATTTGAATGAGTAACCATGTGGGTGAGCTGTTGTTCAGCCTGAACTCCACACCATTCCTGCCTTGTCCAATAAGTTTCTTCACCCCAAGCCTCCACCCCCGTCAACTACCACATAACGCACAGTCAGAACACTCTGTGGGAATGATGACAGATGATACATACTGTCTCCCACAGAGAACTGCAAAGCATCGAAATTTCTTAAAAAAAAAAAAAAAAATACTGAATCAACTTTGAAGACAAATAGTGAATATTTGGATCAGGTTTCATCTGTCTGTTTGAAATCGCCCAAAAGTTCAGCTCCCAAATGGGAAAGGGATATAAGTTTTGTTTAAAATTCCAGAAGTGAGGGGGGTTCATGGACAGATGAGACAATGGGAGTAAAAATAACATTTTGGGGTGCTAACTTTCTATTTTTTGTTTGAGTTTCATGCTGAAGTTGAACATGATAGTAGCTGATGACTGACTGCCCTCATTTCAGATAGTGTCTGATTTTCTCTCTAATCCATCGTGCTATTTGACCTTTAATTCTTGTAGTCCCCTAAAATCTGTTCTATATTCTCCATGATTGAGCATCCCCAGTTCTCTGGAGTAGAGAATTCCAAAGATTCACAGCTCAGAGTGGAGACATTACTCCTGTTCTCAATCATCAAACCCTTCATCTATGACACTGACCCCCTGTTCCAAATTCCTCAGCCAAGGAAAACATTTTTCCAACATTTACGCTTAAGGATTTCATGTGCTTTGAGTAGATTGCCTCTTATTCTGTTTCTGATTCTTCTAAACAGTAGGGTTTGTAGTTCCAGCCTTCTCGATCTTTCCCTGTAGAATAGCTCCTTCATCCCAGGAACCATCCTTGTGCCTTCCCCCTCGGGCTAATATGTCCTTCCTTGAGTAAGGAGACCACAGTGCCACTTTACCAATGATTTCAGGGGTGAGAGATCTGAAGGAAATGGAACGCTTTGTTTCTGTCTTGCTGTTGGCAATAAGTGCCACCAACTCGGGTGTTCGGGGTAAAGCTGCCCCAATCTCCCAGGATGAAGCCATCCTTCACGGTCTGCTGTTTTGAAACAGAACAGTGACTGACAATGCTGGAGCTGCAGTGAGAGCTGGTCTCTTCTGAGGCGATACCAGGAAGTAATTCATTACACAAAGGGTAATGAGAGTTCCCCCTCCCACCACCCCATCAACCCAACTCTCCTGAAATTTCAAATCTGGGACCACTTGATTTTTTTTTGTTAAATACAAATATGGTGGATTATGGAACCTATTCCCCCAGCCCATCTCATTCACACTGCCCTACAAACAGGTAAATGCCTAATCCATCATTAGCTGTAGACTGTAAGTGGACTCCCATACCCTGAGCTGATAGATGACCATTTGCATCCTTTCCTTCATCATTCATTTGAGATCACATTGCACAATGCACTAATTTTAAGGCACTTCCTCTCTACATTTGCCCAGCTGCCTACATCCATAATCTCCTCTGAGATCTCTTAGTTTGTCTGTCTCTGACCTCTCTGGCACATTTCCAATTGTCACAGCTGAACCAGTAGTGGCTGTGCCTTCAGCTATTTGGGCCATGAGCCCCGGAATTCTCTCCCTAAATCTCTGCCTTTTAATTCAAGCTGCTTTCAAACCTACAGCTTTGGCTAAGCTCCTGGTCCTGTGTCTTAGTATCCCCTTAATGTAATATTTTAAGAACCCTGTCCTGTGCAGTGCACTGGGACGTTTCACAGCATTCTAGAGGCTACAAAAGTGTAAGTTGTTGCTTTTGTTGTTCCGTCATCTCTGGGGTTGCCTCCTGGTGAATAAAGTCACATGTCAGTCATTTGGCTGAGCACAATCTAACTCTCAGACCTGTGTCTGTTTACATTGAAGCTTTTCAAACGCAAACACTCTGAGCTGACTGGCTGCATGTTTGAGGGCGTCACAGGCTTGCCTTGTTCCATGACCAGCATTCCAAATGCCTTTCTCCATCTGTTGTCCGGGTGACTGGGGATCATTGAATTTGTTTTTTTGTATGTGTCTGTTTGTTCGGGATCAGTGAATGCTCTGGTCCTTTCCCAGGAGACTTGCCTCAGATCTGCAAGAATCCCAGCTCAGAGTTTTCTGCCCTGATAAGCTCCAATAAAAAGGTTTGCATAATTGCCCCAGACCTCAGACAGATGGGGAGCTGCCCTCTGCAGCCAGACTCCCTGACGAGCTGTCAGTTCAGGTCAGAGACATCAAACTCTGTCTCAAACTTTTTAAAGCAAGAGAACAAAAGGCAGGAAAGCCTCTGCACCCAGTGTCCTGGGTCTTGCACCAGCGTTAATACCTGTATTCTTAGCAAAAGTGCTGCTTTGAAGGATTTAATGCACTCTTAATAATTTCAGACTCCAAAGCTCCTAGTGTAGTGAAGTTGTTACACCCCAAACTGTTTTACAGACAATCAGGTGCTCTTCTTTAGCGGTTGTATTGTAGAAAAAAGCAACAGCCAATTTGCGCACAGCAAGCTCCCAGAAACAGCAACATGTTGGACTGAGTAGGGAGAGAATCTCCTCTGAGAGTGACTGTGTAGTGTACAAGCTTGTAGCTGCTCCTGAGTTTCAAGCATGTTTCTAGACTGACTTCTAGATTTCTTACATTTCAGTAGTAGAAGATTTTTATTTTGATTACGTTTAGATAAGGATATGAAAAAGAAATATTCGGAATGATATTGGCCGAATGCAGGAAAGCAGGCCTAGTTTAATTTGGGAACGCAGTTGGCTTGGACTGAAGGATTTGTTTCTTTGCTGTATGACTCTGACTGACTCTGTGATAATGACCGGATATTAGAGTACATTTTGGAGAGATGGGCTGTGGGATAAATATTAATGAGGAAACTGGGGAGAATATCCCCTCTCCTCGCCAAAATAATGGCCATGAGAACTTTTGCCACCACCAGAGTAGGCAGACTGGACCTTAACATCACTTAAAAGATGGCCCTTCCAACAGTGGAGCACTCCCTTGGTACCTCATGACTCTTTGGTTTCTGTCTAGTTTGTGTGCTTTGTAAAGCTGGAGTTGATTGCACTATTGGATAACCCTGGTGCAAAAATACCCCCATGTTTCTCACAGCACTTGAGATACATACTGACTTTATAAATTGTATATACATGATTATTCCTACCTTAGGTCATTGGCCTTGCTGTATTGATGGGAAGTGATGACTGCAGGTTACAAATTTACCAAACACTAGGGTTTTGAATGTTTAATGTAGTTGCAGACTATAGAAGAGTAACCCTCCCCTGGTTACTGAGATTGCTATAGTCTTTGGAGTAGTTTCCCCATATCTGTAATCTTTTTTTTGCATAAAGTCAGAAATCACATGACACCAGGTTATAGTCCAATAGGTTTATTTGAAAACACAAGCTTTCAGAGCCTCATTGAAGGAGTTCAGGTTTTAGTCTGTTTTTTTGGATAAGCAATTTTAACTGGTCTCATCCTAATGTTCAAATCCTTCTGACAACACTCCCCTCACACCCTTACATTCTGGTTTGGTGTGACAACCATAGGCCTGGGCCCAAAAAAAATTGGGAACAGAACTCCAGAGCCTTGGGCCCAGGCCCCTGAAGGTACAACTGCCAATCGTGGGGGCAAAGTGAGGGATGGACTGGAGTCCAGGTTGAAGGACAACATTTCTCAGGGGAGCGGTTTGTAGGACTAAATGGGGTTAGAGGTAAGGAGGGCATGCGACTCTGGAGGGACTTAAACCATTTGTAAGTTTATGAAAAAGTTCAATGATTTAGGTGGATTAAAAAGCACCCATTTGTATCCTGACAGGTGGCCATTAAGTCGATTCGCAAAGACAAAATCAAAGATGAGCAGGATCTTGTCCATATCCGACGAGAGATTGAGATCATGTCATCGCTCAACCACCCACACATCATCAATATATACGAAGGTAGGCCTGGGCTGCCAATATACTGGGAAATGACAGCAGCTTTGAATCCCAACCATCCTCTTTGAACTGTACCTTCATAGTTACTTCCTAAGCTAACTCCTAAGTAAAAGAAGACATTTTGCCCCCATCGCCATCTATCCATATCTCCTTTTTATTGTCCTGATCTTGCCTGTGTGTAAATTTGGCCACTTGGCCCCCATTTTTCTTGCACTAGGTGCCCTTTGAAGTGCCCCAGATAATGGGGAAGAAGCACCCTGTCACTTCCTGTCAATGTGACTGCTGTATTGGGAAAGGGCAAACACAATGTTCCCATAACTGAGGCAGGCACTAATCCTTTGCATTTTTTCTTTGGATAAGATGTTAAAACAAGAACCCATCATCTCTGGCTGAAAAAAATCACTCAGTTACTCTTCAAAGAAGCACAAGGGAGCTCCATGTGGTGTCATGAACAATATTCATCCCTCAACCAATGTCACTGAAAGAGAGTATCTGATCATTTTCACATTGATGTTTGTGGGATCTTGCTGTGGGGGAAAAAAATGGTTGCCCCATTTCATACTTTTTAAGTCACCATTTTAATGTAATTGCAGGCTGGGGTGTCCTATGTTTGAAAGTTGCTTCTAGAAATCGAAGCTTATCTTTTATGTTGCTGTAGTGGGTGTAAATGTCTGATTTCAGCAACACTAGTCCACCCCTATACAGGCAGCTTATTAACCTTGTACATGGGGGAAGGGAAGCTTCCCTGAGTTTAAGTCCCACTAACTCTTTAGCGGGCGAAGATTTTCTTGCTGAATGTGGACAGCCTGCCTGTATTGTACTGAGTATTGCTTTTTATGCACAAGCCCAGATGTGAGCATCAGCCAACAATTGGGTTGCATTGGGAGAAAGGCTAGTAAAGTGGGGACTGATCCCGAACCCCTGCCCCAGCAGCCAGTACCCCACACACCAGAATGACCTGCTGATCCTGTAGGGTCTTTGTTGTACCCCAAAGGGTGGGTTCACACCATCAGGGAGTAAAGTGGTGCTAAATGAGGGAAACAAACAATTTGACTATGTTTGTCAGGAAGCTGCGCAGAGTCCACCTGTAATTTTAGATTCCGTTGTACGCGCTGTGCAGGCCATGGCCTATGGGGGGAGCTGGGTCTGCTTTGTGTAAAGTGCACAGCTGTCTCCAATAGTCCCAATAACTCGTTTGGCAGTCTTCCCGTCCTTGATCTTTAAATAAAAATGTTGTATGTTTTTTTTAATGCTTTTAAGTGGGTTGTAAAGCGTACAGCACTGCTTGATTTATGAAGTGCCTCTTGAACCTTCTTAGCAAATAGCCCATGTTGTGGGATCTGCGGGGCACTGTGATGGTGTTTCTATGCATGGGGGCTTCAGTCATTCTTGTATCTCTTCCAAGACCTGCTGTGGCTTGGGCCCCAGGACCTGTAGATACAGGAACATTCTTGCTGACCTCAGTCCCTGTTGTTCCCTGGTAACCTGGCATGATCTCTGGTCATCACTGAAGACCTGAAAGTACTGATGAGGAAATCTCCCAGTGTCCTCTTTCTTGATTTCCATCATGTGTTCCCGTGGTGAACAATGCACTTGCAAAGTGGAAGGTTCGCGCCTGTCATATGATGGCTGTCATGGTTGAGCAGCCAACTTGTCACTCACCTTCTGCGCCCACTCAGTAAGAAATAGCACTGGGGCAAGGAAGTGTGGCCTACAGTGTCGACATTTTGAGAGAAGCCCATGCATGGATAAGTATGGCCATTGTCTGACACAATGCCCCTACTCAACCTGGTACAGAGTAGGTACTTAAAAATAACAATAACTTCTTCAAAAGCAACGACTTGCACTGCCAATATTGCACTTTGTAAGGCTCTACACTTTGGATATGCTGATAAACGGTCAGTAAGTGACGTTGATGGATGGTTTTATTAGCCATTCCTGAAACAGGAGTATTGTGACTGTTTACAATAGGAAGGTGCCCTCTGATTGCATTTCCTTATAGCGCTGAGTGCTTTCTGTTGCTGTAATGAGATAACGGCGTGAGATCGAAACTCGAACCTTTTTTTTTGGCCTTCTCTCTGTGACGGGAAATTCCACAAATCTAATGTTTGGTGTTTTAGCAAAGCCCCAGCCAAGAGGAAATTACTGACCCTTTCCAAGGTTGGTCTGTTTTGTGAATTTACACATTCTTTCTTGCGAGTGAACATTCCATTGTTCATTATCCCTGCAATCACGTCGAGTCCCTATTATTGCCATGACTTCAGTGGATGGAAATGAAGGAAATTTCCATATGGTTGGATAATGCCATCATTCTCTGTCTGCTGTCTGATGTAAACAACTCTCTCTCATTCGGCCCAAATCCGACACATTTTTTGTTTTTTTTCGCTTTTTCGACCTGGCTGATACAGAGGTGTCTCTCCTCTCCTGTTTATTGGATTGTGGTTCTTCTCGTGCTGATGTGTCTCTGGTGCCTCGTTCCACACCTCCAGCGGCCACAGTGAACGAGAAAGATTTGTATAGCGCCTTCCGCGGTCTCAGGATGCCCCGAAGCACTTTGCAGCTAATGAAATCCTGTCAAAGTTTGGTCACTGTTGTAATCCTAAGGAAATAGGTACAGCAAGATCCCACAAATATCAATCTGTTAATGGCCAGATCCTTTTTTTTGTGTGTGTGTGTGTGTGTTGAATACTAGCCAGGACAGGGAGAGGACTCTCTGGCTCTTCAAAATAGTGGTGTGGGATTTTTTTAAGCCCACCTAAGAAAGTAGACAGAGACCCCTCTTCGCCCCGCCCCAAAAAAAAACCCTAACTTTTTTGAAATGCAAAGAAATTGTGGAGTTTAAACTGGGGAACACAGCCAGGTGACAACTACCAGCTGTGAATATGTCTTAAGGTGTAAATGAGATTCCTATAATTTTGATGGTTTGGTGGATTTAAAACCTGCTGGTATTATGCCCCAATGGAGTTTTGCACTGGAAACAAGGCTGGCACCTTGGCCCTACTTAAGGTGTGGCCAGACAAATGATGAGTTAATTGTTACCAAAGTATTTATAACATATGCCACTTGGAAGCTAAAGTGTAGGCCAGGAACAGCAGCTGGTGAGAAAAGAAACTGGAACCTTAAATAAGAATTGCTTTCTCATTAGACAGGAATTCTTAACGTTATCTTGGGTCAGACTCAACTCCGGTTTTTACGAAGCTCTCAGCTTCATTTCAAAGTGTTCCCAATGCTGTTTTTAATGTTAGGGGAATCCCTCTAAAGTGAAGGGGATACTGCAAACTGATAATCCCCTCACAGGGATTTCCCCTCCTTCTGATTTTATTTGCTGAAAATCAGCCAAATAAATTGTGAAATCATGCCCTTGGGTAATGATTTGAGATTCCAGACCCTCCTACGGATACCAAACCAACAGCCCCAGAAGAACGTTTCTAGTATTTGTGGGGTTGCCGCCATGGAGATCTCTTCTGTGACGAATGTGCAGGAGTGCTGAAGTTCATTCCATGGTGCTCTGCCTTGTCTCTCTGGTGCTACAAAGAATGGCATTGGGTTCTGCCATCATCATTGGCATCTGCCATGCAGAAAATCCTTTGTGGTGCCTTCAGATGGTTGGAATGTCCTACAGCATTTATTATTTCAAAGTGGGACCTCCCTGAGATGAGGGCCTGAATGCTGACCAGCCAGGGTATGGTGCCACTTGGGCTTTTCATTCATAGAATGAGGGCATCACTAACTAGGCCAGCATTTATTGTACAACCCTAATTACCCAGAGGGCAGCTTAGAGTCACATTACTGTGGGTCTGGAGTCACGTGTAGGCAACACCAGGTAAGGACGGCAGTTTCCGTCCCTAAAGGACATTAGTGAACCAGATGGGTTTTTCCAACAATCCACTGTGGATTCACTCTTAATTCCAGAGTTCTAATGAATTCAAATTCCACCATTTGTCATGGTGAGATTCAAACCAGAGTCCCCAGAATATTAGAGATAGCAGGAACTGCAGATGCTGGAGAATCTGAGATAACCAGGTGTAGAGCTGGATGAACACGGCAGGCCAAGCAGCAGAGGAGCAGGAAGGCTGATGTTTCGGGCCTAGACCCTTC